CCTAAATTATCACGATTCAACGAACGAGCTCCATAGCCCAATATTGATCGTGTTACTGGAACAGATTTTTCATTTTACAAATTTCAAATATAGAATACTTTTGCGGGGTAGATCTAGATGGTTCTGAGAAAGTCTAACACGGGCAAACCAGATCGCGAATCTAGCATATAATATCGATATTCTTATATTCCCAAGAATGTGACTTATCTCGTGCCATACTTCATCGCTACACGTATATTTTAATAAAATATCGCCGAGCATACTTTAACGTCGCTCGTGTAATATTTTAAGAATAAGTATAATATTGGAAATTGAAAATGTTCATCCATATTTTTAGTGTTAAGCGCACTTTTACAGCGCGGGGGATATTATAATCTTTCATTGCTTTTGTCATTCCTTGTCTTAGCAACTTATAATTTTTATTACATACCTTTTTAAAGACTTATCAATTGAGTTAATTTTTATTCGTGTATTACGAAGACTATTGGAGTTAATTAGACGAGTTGTACTTTTTTTGAACCAATATTTCTCTTGAATTATTCAACTTGTATCTACAGTATTCGCGAGTGATACACGTTAATAAAAATAATCTTGAAACGTGAACTACACTTGAAAACAATTTGAAGCGAGTGGTCGTAGTTAAAATGTTTTTAATAAAATAACTCAAATTCCAACCTATTACAAATGTTTAATAAAACTAAGTTATTTATTAAGTGTTAAACTAACTGTTCTTCTAAAATTCCAACCCATTCTTTGGTGGCTAAAATTTGTAAAGTCGATGACTATATTTATACAGTTTGAAAACTTTATAATTTTTTTACATGTTATTATTGAACATGAAGTCCTGCCCGAGTCGAAAACTTGTGCAATTTTTTTTCGATTTTTATATTTATACAGGACAATTCAGATTAGATACCACAGCAATTCTTTTTTAAAGTATAATTTCAGATAGTCTTCAATAGTGGAATAAAACACTTTAACGCGATACATTCAGCCGCGGTCACGTGTCTCCCCGTGACCATGGCTGCTGCAAAGCATCCGAAACGTTGGGCCGTAGTTAAAATAATGTCCAAATAAGTTTAACTAATATGTATCGCGTTTTAAACCGTTAAAGTGTTTTATTTAAATGTGTACTCCTCGCGTAAACTGCAGAAAGTAGTCTTCAATATTTTTAATAAATAAATTTTTAATCTTTGCTAAGTAATAAACACCTTAGCGCGATAAAACCCGGGCTATAAATAAGGATTTATACAGCCGTAACCAGTCTATGTTGGATTTGCTCCAGATTCCAAATCTATTTGCTAACATAAAAAGTACTAGCCCATCGACTGTTGCCATCTTTGCGTCGAAGCGTACCTCACTTCAAAGAGATTTAGGCTATGATTTCATGAGTGAATATTGAATATATAAGATAGTATTATATAACAGGAACACCTTTCTAGAAAAAAATAAACAGTTTTTTATATTAATTTCCGTATTTCATGCACCTTTCCTCTGAATGTATTCTTTTATAGATTTTTCTGCAGACCTGCATTCAGAATGTTATAGTATAGGTATATTTTTTATTTTAAATTTGATATTTTATGTTAATAAGGATAATTTGCGTAATTATGTCTAAAACCCACCGCAAGATCTAAAAGAAAATACTAGGTGTAGCTTCTTAATTACAAAAGATGCTTAACTTAACTACGGTATTAAATACTCCTTGGACTGGGATTGAGACGTTAAAAACCGGATTAAGTGAGACCCAGTTACAGTTTTTATAGAATAAATTAAGAATTTTCTTCAACTGTTACGGTAATTGTTTTGAACATGATTCAGTGCTACGAATTAAAAATAAGGTTTTGACTCAGTTATTACTTCGTAGACAGTTTTAAGGCATTTTTCTTAAAGATAAATATGTAATTTTTCTGTATGTTTAAATATGTACAATAATCTCATTCATATAGTAACGTTATTAACCTAGGATACTTAAAGCAATGCTACGAATGCTACACAAACATTTTCAACCAAATGTATTATATACACACCCATACACATAAACGTCATATTCATATACAAAAAAGAACTATGCACCTACATTTCCTATGAAATTAAAAAAAATAGGACGGTATCGTTGGTGTAATGGTAGCAACGTAAAGAAATAATCAGTGCGTCATGGGTTCGATCCCCGCCGGGGCCAATATTTTTTCTCATCTTTCATTTCATCGTCATTTTCTTTTTCATCAATTTGTAACTTTTGAAATATGTCTTCGCCTGAAAATATGAATATTAAATGGATAGAATATGGAAATTCCGTCCGGGTCACCATCCACCGTCCATGAATGGAAAAGCCAAATATTCAAAGCAAAAATAGGCCGGCAACGCATCTTGTTTAGACGTTACTTTGCTAGGATATTTTACCTACTATCAAGTGAACCTTATCTGTTCTCGTCTGTAATAAAAAAGAAGTGAGATTAAAGAAGAAAGAGTATTGCTCGTTTCAAGGTGTAACGGGTTAGTCTCCGCGTTGCCCTTAATGATGCAAATGTCACTTTTAATGAAAATAAGTTTTGCACCCGATCTGATAAATTAGATAATACCTCAACGCCGCGTGTCATTTCCCTACGTTCGTAACGTTGAAAATTCTCATGAAAATCATGAATAATTTCTTATGCTTCAATTTTGGTGATTAAAAATGTCTTCTTCTCTTGCCTTTCGATTACTGAAGGATTAAAACTGTAGAATACTAAAATTACATAATAATTCAAGTGGGACTAAAACATGGGCCCTCTTAGATCTACAATGCTCATACCAATTGTTCTGATAGGAATTATTCTATAGAAGAGAAAAAATGAATTCTTCTATAGAAACCCAATTCTCCAATATTAAATTTTGTATTCTCATATTAATTGGCTGATAAGTAGCTGAAACGTGTCCATTTATTCAATAAAACACCTCATATATCAAATTAATCGCTATTTTGATTTGTAAATATTTAAACGGTAATAGCCGCAATTGTATACTGTGATTTAATTAACTGAAATAATAGTTTCGATTCACTGTTATTCGTAGTATCATTTTAATAATAGTGATCGATGATTGACCCCCATTGCTGTTAAATTCACTTCCTTGTCAATACTATACATAGGAAGTCGCAGGTTCATGTCTTCCCTTTGTAAATAATACAGTTATTATTTTAGATAAACTTTTAAACTTATTTTAGGTATCTTAAAATAGATTATTACGAATTCAATAGCAGACTGTAAATTTAATGACGTCCTTTAGCCTTATAACGCCATAAATATTACCGATATCAACATTAATTCTTTAGTTGAACCTTTTGGTGGCTGGTAGTAGTAGGTATTTTAATTTTTTATTTTATTGTTTTGCCTGCGTTAATATAATAATAAAGAATTCGTTTATTAACACAAAGTACATAACTTAGAACTAAAATTATTAATAAAAAAATACATTAAAAAGAATGAAATAAATAATAATTTTTAAACACGTTGTTTACTAAAAGACATTATAAACAAAATGAAACTTGTGAAACTATCTAGATAATAAGAAAAAAATAAAAGAATGTTTATTAATGAAATAATTTTAACAAATAAGAATATTGGTGAATACGTGGTAGATGAATTCCTTAAAGGGTTACATAACATAAAAAAATCGTCACACCTCTCCGTTGTTTCAGCATAAATGTAAAATCGTGTTCAATTACAAGGCACAGATACACGTCGCATAATCTATCCACAGATAAACTTTAGCCTAGATTCCAGGAATTTTAATGTTCTCCAGTTTGATAGGAGTCGTCGACGGGTGAATTTCATTAAAATCGCCTGCGCTAGTTCAGAACGCAAAAACCGTGAGAGCGTAAGTTAAACGAATTTTAAATAACGTAAAAAGTTTCGGCCGAATTTCAATTACGCTTTCGGTCGTGCTCTATTGAATTGCTGATTGCTGAACTCACTTAACATACACGTCATATTATGTAAACTAGTGTGAATTATGTTTTAATGTTGAAAACACAGAGAATATACGTGTGACACCTTTAATATTATTCACATGTTTATGACATTAGCATTACATAACTTAAAAATCGATTTTAGGCTTAGGATGCCGCGTTGTCCGTGTTTTTTTAAATCTAAAATCAATTTAATTTATATACCTATAAAGTTCAACTTTTTAAATAACAGTATTTCTATCTGATAAAAAAAAACTTAAGTCAAATAAGGCTATGATAATAATTACTTTTTGATGAACACGAAGCATTGAGTGTTTCGTGTTATTCAAATAAGATTTATTAAAATTTATAGATAGAAATGAACGAGACATAATCTATAGTGTTTTACTCTAATACAGAGGACAAAAAAGTCGTTTATTAGTATGTAAATATAGCTATTTAGTTTAGTGGATTCAAGCATTTTTTGTGTATCCGTTTTGGGAATAATAACTAAGCTACTTACTGCTAAAAGGGTCTAGTCTAAACTCTACACACGTTGAAACAGAGTTGTACGCCAATTATTTTTATTATAACGCCAAAAACGACTACAAACGCTTTTATTTGAATAAATCCTCGCAGTACCGATCGTTATTTTTTGTTTCTCGAAAAACAAAGAGATTTTTTTTGCTGCGATAAAATTATAGAGTCGAATATATTTATTGTACATCACAAACATAGAAAATAATAGCGAAATTATTTGTTTGCTTAATTGTAGGATTCTATTATATATATTCTATTATAACTGTGAATTTATTTATCATTCTAACATCATAGGACTTTTCTTATTATTTGTAGTTGCAGTCAATATTAAGTTAAGGACTAACTTGTGTGAACTATTTCCCTACTTTTCCTACTATTGATTTTTAGATTGATAATTCGAAATACGTATTTAATATTTTTTTATTACAAGGCCTTACATAATTAATTTGTCGGATTCGCGTTACCTTAGAATGTGACAAACGTTTATAAATTATTATTTCATCTATAAATATGATAAGAGTGACGACATCAACTAGTGGCATTCTTTATCTATGATCTCATGTGCCATCTCTAGGCCAGGGCATTTATCCCCTTCAGGGTAGCTAACTACAGGTCTCGATTGTTTTGTAGGGGACAAGTTAGTCCGTAAATTACCGGCTAACAAGAATCCATCCAATTTATGTGCACCACACCAGTGCGGTCGCCGGGCGTCCTGTTCCAGCTCACATAATTCTACTGCACTGCTCAAATTAGTGATCAACAGATTGTCCTTACGAAGCACCGGGGTCTGAGGACCAATTTTCGAAACAAATTATTATTTTGTTTAATAATGTTGACAGCGTCTTGTAGACGTCGACTCCATGTTGGCATAACCCGTTGCTGTCAAATACAATATTATATAATGTATTTATAAAACACATTACATAATAGCGATACATTGCTGTAATTAGACCAACGAGCTCGTCAAATGTATGTAATGTAGGCTTGAATGGAAAACGACTTTTAAACAATCTGTTTGCTATTTCCACAACAAAAATATTTCTTTCGAATTTATTCAAAAAAAGGTGTATGTGCATTTTGGGAGCCTGACAGACGTATTATTTTAATACATTGAAGAAAACATTTAGTGCAAGTTGAACTATTTAATTTTAAATTTGGAATTTAACTCTTACAGAACCATTAGGAAGATAGACTAAATATTCGAATACAACACAATATTGTAGCTATTTTGGATGTAAAGTAAGAGAATATCACTAGAAAAACATAGCACTCTGTATAGAAATTCTATAATTTTATTCTTTTTATTTTGACATTCGTAAAAAAATGATTGATTCAATAATAATTAAATAATCGATAAGATTTTTGTAGAAGGGAAAAATATTTCCCTTGAATGTGAAAGGGTTAAACAGAGTACGTAATATTTTACTCTCTTATCCGATGTTATCACGTCAATAACAATTGCATTACGTTTAATTAATTAATTAACAAAGAGCAAAAAGGAAACGAACAATAAAGAAAATGAACACATTCATAACACCCGCACATAACAATTCCGCGCCACTATATCTGTTTCATATCTTTCTTTTATTACGTACAAAAGCCCAGATAATGTGCTGTGATCACATTACGATGTTGCCACATTTTCGGTACTTATCGCATAAATTATTGATCGCTCTCTTTTCATGACGCGTACGATTATATCGTTTTGATGCAAGGAATATAATAATTCCGTCCGGATCACGTACCACCGTCAGATGAAACAGCCGTGAAGTTTAATCGCGTTTCGGTTTTAGTCTCTGAATTTCCGAATATCCAAAGCCAAAATAGGCCGACAGCGCATCTTGTTTAGATGCTATAGGCTGGGGTATATCACCTACCATCAAGTAAACCTCATGCTTGTCTGTCCTTCTCTATCAATAAAAAATAAATGTCCCGCAGGTGGAACATAATCGCCGCTTTGGTTCAGTGTGAATTAGTGAGCTCTTACTAGTACTGTCACTAAGTTATAATAGAAAACGACGCGTTTACGTGGCCTTCAAGGTACATGTCGATGACATTACTCTAATCTTGATTCTAGACTTACAATAAAATTAATCTCAAATACTGAACTAAGTATAATAAGGTGATCTACCTTATTATACTCTATAAAGTGTCGAAATCTACATTTACGGCTTACCTAGTTTAAAAATCCTAAAACCATACATCATGTAAGGCTTTTAAACTTTCACTCCGTCAAATATTTTTAAATGTAACATAATGTGATAATGCAATTCAAATTTAGAAGAAAATTGACAATACATAGAACAGGAGGTAATCGAATCCGAAATAATTAAGATATTAATGATGACGTCATATTCCTACGTTATTGTATCTTTAGTTATCATCTATCACACATTCTTATGTAATTAAGAAGTCTTGGAGACAATTCTCGAAGATATATTTCTTATCAAATTATAATCTCATATCTCTTTAGTGATTTGAATCCTAATGACAGATTTGGAGGATAGCTAGCATCCTAATTCTATCCTCGAAATCTGTCACAAGGACAAAATGACTCGCTTAATCGTAAAAGAAGAATTCCATTTTTACGACATCACAAAGACAAAGTTTAACTTCAAAACTTGGGATCTGGTACAAAGTATAAATTATGTCAAACGCATTTCAATAAAAGCGATTTAATGTCCGTCCATGTTCAATACTTCAGGATCAAAGACGGATCCTTGGCTGAGCTCCAAAGATTGTCAACGGGTGTGTTATCAAAGCTCTGAAACTTGCATAGTTACAATGTATGTATAGATATAATTACTAATAGCTTGATTTAGTTTAGTCATTTACAATGTGTGATCACTTTATTATAAATGCATTGGATTTTAATTAGTACAAAATATTTGTAACGAATACACTAATTAAATCGTTTTGAAGTTTCAAATTATATATTTTAATAATTGCTATTATACAATATAATATTAAGATTACACAAAAAAAAATTATAGGCTTGCTAGTCTACTTTCAGCAATTGGCGACTTATAACGGTCGGGATTTGATTCCCATCAGGTTTACTATATTAGAAAATGATTATGTGATTTTTCTATATATATAGTATAGAACGACCGCACACTGAAAAATAATTTTAGCTAGATATCGGAAAATTAAACATTTAATAAAATGTATCCATGCTTGTCTATCCTTTGCGTTTTTTGTCCATAGTGTTTTACCAGCTAAGGATGACAGCCCTCCCCTTCCTCGGTCCGAAGCAAACCTGTTATACCTGTTATATTTATCCTTAATTACTAGGGACTTATAATGCTATTATCTTACGTTACTTATTATTAAACTTATGTTTATTTATATCGTACTTGGCTACTTTTATCTTTCGGGTTTCAGCTGTGGTCACGGGTGCTGCAAAGCATCCGAAACGTCGGGCCGAAGTTAAAAATCATTTTCAAATAAGTATAACTAATATATCGCGTTTTATACCGTTAAAGTGTTTTATTTAAATGTGTACTACTCGCGTAAACTATAGACCGTATTTACTTTTATCTTCTAACAGAAGCCGGTATAAGATTTTATGGCAGTGGTTGTAAAAAATATCCTTCCGCAAACTGAATTAAGTCTTATCATCGACTGGGTCTATAATTTAACTACGGCATATCTGAGGACGCTTTTTAATTTAGTTTGGAGTACTATAATCTGATTCCTATAAGGAATCTGAGTTTTATCATTTAAGTCGGCCTCGCCGGAGCGGGGTTCTGCCAAAGGCAGTTGGCGTCTGACGCCGCGAAGTACTAAAGGACTTGGACAACTTCGATTAACGAGTTCCCAAGATTTAGTGGCGCTGTAATCGCATAAGAATTTACGTCTTTTGCAAAGTTTATCGGCGATTTTAAGATTCAGTATTCGTGAACGGTGCCGATTTTACTACCACAGCGCAATTAACTTAAGCTCTAGATATACAAGAAAACACAGTGTACACGTACATACAATTTAATAAAATATAAAAATGTATACCAGTACTAGAATGATTATAAGGTACACACTAAAAAGTATTATAATCTCTAAGTACGGTGAAATAACCGTTTTATTATTTCTATCGTGTAATCAAAATTCTGGCAACTTCTTTTTCTTCTTACCTGAAACAGTAAAAATACTATTAATGCTTTTTTATTTATTAATGATTTTTAAGAATACGTTTCATATTCGTCTTTATACAAACGAGAAAACTAAATTTATACGTACTTTTAAGTTATTAAAAGTTTGAGGTCAGTTCAAGTGGATAAAAACTGAGTGAGTGATCAAGCACGTCAATATGTTGTTCAAAATAAGTTTTTAAAGGAGGATTAAAATGTGAGAGAGTTATATCAACTTACTTGCAGCCATCTTAGTTTATCTTTTCGTACTTTGGTCGTAAGAGTTGCAGTTTAAAATACTTTATTATCTTATTTGTTTAACATACTTTAAAAAAAGAAAACATTTTAATATTTAAACACTGGCTGTAATTTACGTAAGTACACATTTCAACAAAGACACTTTAACGGTTTAAGACGCGAAAGTTTAAGCAATATATAATATATCGCGTTAAAGTGTTTTATTTAAATAATTAATAGTTTTTAAAGGCATGTTTAGCTAAAATATATATTTATAGTGTAGATCTTTAGTTGTATTTCATAGTATAAAAAAATTATTCGTTTGTTAAATGTCTTGTATTTATTTCTGAATAAACGTCTTTTATACGTCTTCTATTCTATTCTATATAATTTAAAATCGAAAATAAATTGAAAAAAATTTGCGACTCGGGCAGGACTTGAACCGGCATCGTCAGCGTAAATTATTAGATTCCCCTGGAGGTAGAACTCAGGACTTTTCGCACTTAAATCTTTATATTTTTACTTACTCTTCTTGATGAGGAAACCCGTCAAATCTTCCAATTCCTCGGACGTGTAATCCGCAAACTTATTTATATCGTACACAGTTGAACTAGCGCTTACGTTTTGTTCATTTATTCTCTTCAGGGTATTCACAAACGCTTGAAAATGGATCTCTCTGTCCATCTCATCGTCGTAGATCCTATTATATTTAATTCGAAAATTTTCAAAGAGTTCTCCAGCGTTCTCCAAGTTATAATAAGGTTTCTCATTTTCTAGAGCCCACGCTCCTAATACCACACCGAGGCAACACACGAGCCGGATCATTTCTTTTCCTCAAATACCTCATGTGCAATTAAACACAATCAAATTGGTTTTTATACTTCATACTGTCATAACAAAGGAGTTAAACCGATTTTTCGGATTATTACCTTATCAAATCATTTGCAACTGTATTAGAACTAAAAAGAATAGAAAAGTTAATTAATTTTTCATGCTGATAAATGATTACGTAACTTAATAATTTGCCATAACGCTTACGAACACATTTTTTAACTCACCAAAGTCATTGTAATCGCATTCTTTATTAATCAAAGCCAAAGTCTTGGATTTGAATCTCGGTAAAAATGTTAATATAATATTGGAAGTTGAAAGTAATGTCTATGAAACAGATCGGGTATTTGGCATTTCACATTTTCACGTATTGTCGTAGTTTCACTTTATTTTGTGATAATTTAATACAGTTTTACGTTTTACAGATAAACTAAGATATATCTTAAAATCAACTAAACATTAAATTAAGTCACACCTGAGTCTAGACTAAGTGTTTGGCAAACATGCTCATAACTTACTTCGTCACAATTAAACTACGCTATCTACGCACGAATTCAAACTAGGTTGAATAATTATGACTACGGTATGATAAGTTAACCTAAATAAACTTTATAATCAACAGCAGACTTGATATAACAAACATTAGAACATTATACATTTTTAATCATAGGTACGTTATGTGTACACTCGGGTGCAAAAATGTTCTCAAATTTTCGAATGAAAACCGGAAGACCCTCTAAAATTGCCGCTTTGATCTATATAATTTTTATGACACAAAATGATAACAAAACCGTACATGCATACTAATTGCGCATACGACCACTGTAAGCTAAATGAATTTAAGTCAAATAAATTCTTATTGATCATAATAAATATGTTTATTTTTGCGTCATTATATATTCTTATAATATTTTCTTTCATATATTAAATACATGCACCTATAGAAACAGACACATTTTTTTTATATAGAAATGTCAAAGTTATTAATATACAAAGTATATTATACGCCTAAGAGTGTAACGTTTTTCGTACTCGACTGTACCCAAACACACCACAATGGTGTGCATACCCACATAATGACATATAGTCTGTCAATTCAAGAAAATCGCTGACAGCAAATGCTCTTAATCACAAATAATTGAGGCATTGATTACAATACAAATTGAAAGCTATGTGCATGTAGTGTGCCGTAAACATCAGTTTAATTCAGGCGACCGCAGACCACGTCAAATCACATGCAATGTTGATATTGAAACCGCAGAGTTGGCTTAAATTTTGTCGGTATATCGTGAACGAGGGTATGCGCTGTGCCTTCAAACCACTTAGCCACATAGTGTTTTCCAATTTTAAATATTAAGTACAAAAAGCTAAGTAGGTATATATAATGCTGCTCGAGTGGCCTAATAAAAACATGATTTTCAATAAGCAGGAATTTAACAATTATTTGTGTAAAAATTATGTTCACAAATTTCAAAATATAAATAACACAAGTAATAAAAATTGCAGTTAGGCTACTCTGCCTCTAGTACCTGCACCTTTACGCGCAAGTAGTACACATTTAAATAAACCACTTTGAAGGATTGAAAATTATCCCCCCCCCCTCCCTTGAAGCATCCGAAACATCGGGCCATAGTTAAAATAATTTTAATTAATACCCATAAATTTGAATGATTCACTTATTTTGAAATCGGTATTTAAAATAATAAACACGATGATCGTAATCGTAATAGAATATTTGGCTGCCGTTCCAATTTTGTAAGTTTAATTTTTGTTATGTAATTTTCCCGTTGAAGGCTCCCGTATCCATTATCGTAAAGCCAAGAAAATCCTGATTAATACAAAGGAATATCGGTTCCGCGTCTCGTTAGGAAAATGTTTAATAAGCGGAATTATAATGTAATTTACAGCGTTGTGCTCCGTTACGTGGAAAACAACACTCGAATATTGTTTATTAAATGTAATGTTTAACTTCATCTGTAGCCAAATGGTTAACGGTGTTGCATTGCGTTAAATCCAAGAGATCCTGGGGCCTAATCGTTGTTTCGGTCCAGCAGAGCTGGTGCTCTGTAAGTCAGGCATGTAGTTCCTGTCTATAAAAGAAATGTGTTCGCCCCATGCCCCACAGGGGGAAACGGGGTATGACTTTATTTGTTATTACTAGCTGTGCTAGCCACTTCGTCCGCGAGAATAGTTAATTTGGGCATAAAAAACCTCGTCGTCTTTATAAAACATAGTTGTTAACGACGCCGTCTGCGTTCCGTCCGTCGTAAATCTTAAAAAATAGACATTTACTATCGAAGACTATTTTTAGATGCACCGTTTTTGCAGCGCAAAAAATCATTAATAATCATCCCCGGGTCTCCAACATAACTCTATCTCTTCGCTTATATTTACATATACATGGTCTATCTAAAACAAAAATTATTTTTAAATTCGAACCAATAGTTCTTGAGATTGGCGCGTTCAAACAAACTAACAATATATTATTGGTATTTACCACCCGTAAAACTTGTTTGAAAATTATTTTGTGTAAAACGTCGGGCCGCGTAAACTACAAACAGTATTTAAAATAGGTTTTACTGATCTATCCCTTCTTTAAATACTAGTCGAATAGACGGCATTAGTTTATGATAACTAAAATCAGCGATCAATATTCATTACTACTTTTTACACGTGCAATTGTTTATTTCCAATGTTAACCCGTCTATAGACTGTATACATCAGTTCCTTACGAAGCGACGAAAATGGAATCTTCGTCCCCACAAAGAACGTTCAAACAAACTTTATTTCAATCTCATGCCTATGCAAGCCTCGGTCGGGAGGAAACCCCAAACTGTATTGAATTGTGAAAAACGAACAAGGCTGTATGATTGGGCTCAGATCGTGTGATGTTGGAATCCCGTTCGCTTGATACTGAGCTCAAAGCTCACCCACACTTTCGGTTAGGCTGCGGTCTCATATAAAGCGTCGCGCGTTTTTTTATGATAGAAAAAATCATACAAGCAGGTCCCGAAGAAAAACCCCAAAGAATTCTAAAATGCCTTTTAGCTAGAAATATTCGGAAATCCAATAGATTATATGATAATAGAATGAAACCGAACTGCGTTCGTTCGTGACCCGAACGGAATTTCGATATTCCTACCACCAATTTAATATCCAAAATTCCAACATTCTTCAGAAAAATGTTGCACCTGGCACCTGGTGGGGATCGAACTCCCGAACCGCCTGGATTAGCCTCACATTGCTACGTTAAGTGAAAAGTTGCATAGTATGCCTTAATATCACGCTTGTCAATTGCGATTTGAATTTTGAAACATGTCATGTATATGCCATAAAGATAAATTTTGATGCGTGAGGATGGAGGAGGAGGAGACCACCCCCCCCCCTTAGGTATTAATAGAAACTATTAGTAGCCTGACCAGAAAACCTCGTAGGGTAGCCAACCAGGGTTTCTTGTGCACTACTGAAATAAATAAGTACGTCACGCAGCGTTTCATTCATCATTCATTAATAAAACTGGCGCAAACATTAAATATGCTTCTATTGGTCTAAGTTAGCGTATTCCCTTAAACATTTATCGATAAATGGTCCAACAAACACAAAAATACTCTTTTAATTCTAACCATGAGATAAACGCGTTCAAACAAACAAACTTCAGTTTTCTATATTAGTCTATATATATAACTATCAACAAATTGAAATGTTGAAGAGATTTTTAACAAGCTATTCGATAACAATATATTACGTCCCATAGCTATTAACGCAATATTAATATTAGTAACGATCGTCCAATAAATTGTTTAAAGGCAACATAATATGCATTGTCTCAACCCTTCCGGCTTCAACTCGCGCCGTATGTGGAGTTTCAAATAAATTATTCATTATTATGGACCTGTGCACTCTCTTTAATCGTTTTTCAGGCGTCTCTATAAATCTACCTGGCTACAAAGTTTTATCTAATACTAGTCAATGTTTTTACAGCTATTACGTATTTATGTGAAAAAAAATCAAGTTGCAGTATTTATATTTTATATGAAACACTTTAACGATTTAAGACGCTAAATTTAAACGAAACTTAATTAACTACGCAAACGCGAAGACGCCGTTAATCAATTCTTCAAGGATTTCGGCCAGTGTCGCCAAATAGCAAATATGAGGTAACAGATGGCGCTAGCATAGCAGTTTTTATTTTGGCATTACACCCTCCTCCACCATCTTTAATCTTCCTGTGACCACGGTTGCTGCAAAGCATCCGAAACGTCGAGCCGTAGTTTAAGTAATTTGTAAGTAAGTTTAGCTAATATATGTACTGCTTGCATAAACTATAGACAGTATTTAATATTGCAGTATATTATCTAGGACATTTAAAAACACCCAAAATTCTTGAAAATGTTTAAAGCACGTCAAGATATCAGCGTCTATTTTTGAAACAAAAGACAAGGCTCAATTCAATTTAAGATCGCAATTAACTACGTCTAAATATACATTTTAAGCAAAACTAAAAAAATAAGTAGAATGAAATACAGTTTAAAAGTAAGGGTTTATTTCTTGTTTTATTCCACATCAAGAAATAATAAATATGTTAGGTATTGATAAAAAAAAACTCCGGTCACAAAAAATTGTATGAGAGAAACCAGTATCAATATATCATGACGCATAATTTCACATGAGCACAACCTACTAACATATTCTACTTCAAAGTAACCACGACTCCTGTTGGATCCTGGATATTTCATTGAATGCCATTCAACCGACATATCGACGTTTCGATTTCAAATACGTTCGTCTTTTGTTTTCACCTCAAAGGGAATAACTCATTTTAATATTCTATTTTACACTTAATAATTTATTACAATTTTTGTATATTACAATTGTAATTACTATATAGATCGTAAGTTCTGTCACCAACAGATCCAAAAGCTTTCTCGTCAATTAATACTTTTCTGAAACATGTTAGTCTTCGAACATGTTGAATGGGTGGTAGAGATGTCTAA